TAATTTAGACTGGGACTGGCACATTGGCACCATCTTCCATTGATATGTTCTGAGGAAGGGTCGCGCACCCCGAAATGTTAACTCTGATTTCCCTCCACAGATGCTGCTAGACCTGCTGAGATTTTCCAGCAATTTCTACTTTTATCTGTAGACTGGGACTTAATTACACAGGCCCAACAAGAGTACCTCCATGCCAGTGAAACATGATGCATGTATAAATAAATGCCAGTGCACTAGCTTTTTTTTTATTCATTGAAGGAATGTGGGCATCACTGGCTTGGCCAGTTTATTGAGATTCAACCAGATTGCTGTGGATGTGGGGTTGCATGTAGACGAGACCAGGTAAGGACAGTAGATCTGTTTCCCTAGGGGATATTACTGATGCTGGTGGGTTTTTCATGATAGTTCGCAATAGTTGCGTGGATATTATTAAGTGTTAATTCCAGACTTTTATTGAATTCAAATTCCACAATCAGTCACCGATGGAACATTAACTGGGTTTCTGAATTACTAGTCCAGTAAGAATACCACATGGCTATTGCCTCCACTAATGGCATTTGGTGTTTTTGTAACTTAGTGCCAATGGTAACTCAGTGTCAGTACAACAGGGTGGCAGTGTGCCAGTGAAACAGTACCAGTTCAACTTAGTGGAACTGTGTTACACTGGTATAAAGTTGGCAAGACAGCCAATTTATTTAAAATGCCCTATCGAAGTCAAAAATAACACCTTGTTACAATGACACAGAGTTAAACAGGCATCATGATGTTACTGAGATAGCAAGAACTGCAGGTGCTGGAGTCAGAGATAACAAAGTGTGGAGCTGGAGGAAAACAGCAGGCCAGGCAGTATCAGAGGAATAGGAAAGCTGACATTTGGGTCAAGGGTCCCGACCCGAAACGTCAGCTCTCCTGTTCCTCTAATGCTGCCTGGCCTGCTGTGTTCCTCCAGCTCCACACTTTGTTATCTCATCATGGTTTTTCCCCAGTTGGGCCAGTGTAACTATGTCCCAGTGTAACTCTCTGCCAGTTTGTAACAGTATTGAATGACAGTATAATTCAATGTCAGTATAACTTGGTGCTGGTCCAGTTTCATGCCAGTGCATCTGGATGCCAAAGTGACTCAGTGCCAGTGTACCTTTGTGGTGATATAACTCATTTTCAATATGAATTGTTCCCCGTAAAACTCTGTATTGGTATAACTGGGTACCAGTGTAACAGTATGATATGCATGATTATAGATTTACACTTGCACAGAGTTACATTAGCACCAACTTATTATTGGCATTGTGGCACTAAGTTACACTCACAGACTTAATATTGAACATGAGAACATAGATGGAGAATTACACTGGTGCACAGTTACACCAGTATGTGATACATTAGCGTAGAGCTACATTGGTATTATCTTACGCATACGCTGGCATTGAATTCTGTTAGTTTGGAGTAACACATATGTTGAATTACACTGGAAACAAGTTACACTGTTACTGGAGTTGCATTATCACTGCATTTCACTGGCACAGAATTACATTAACACTGAGTTGCACCAGGTTGTTAATACACTGGTAACATGTTACATCAGGAAAGAGTTACACTGACACTGAGTTACAATGGAACTGTGTTACACCAGCATCAAGTTACACCTCATGAAGTCACATTGTTACCAACTTATTCTGGCACAGGACTTATCTGACACCAAAATACAATGCCACAGAATTACACTGGCAACACATTGTGTAAGTATTGAGTTACACAGACAACAGCTTATGCTAGCATTCAGTTGTACTAAGTCTGAAGAGTTACTCTGTCCAAACTACAAATTACACTGATTCTAACTGCAAGTTCCACTAACCAAGACTATCTTTTGGTGGCAATTGATGAGACCAGCAGTACGTTTTACAAGATATTTGATTAGATTTCATTGCACATTATCAGAACTTTAGATTTCAGAGGACATTGAATAATCCTAGAAGCAAGTTTGGGCAGGTACTAGATGGAGATGAATCTTTGGTTTATCAGGTGATCTATTTTTTTAAAAATCTGCCAAGGCTAATAGATGGGGTGATTTGGAATATTAAGTGGAGCACTGGGATTTGATGCGGGGAGGCAACAGATGAGCTCTCTAAGGTCAGTATAATCTGAATCAAAATGTTTTGAATCTAGTTGGCATATTTATTTCAGTATACCAAAGACAGATTTTGATCATGAGCAAATTTGACGCCATTTTTTCATTTGATATCTGCAGTCAGTGGAAGTGAATTCCAGCTGCTTTCTTGAATGAATGTGGTTCAAAAGAATAGCTCCTGCTTGGGTATTATTCTGAAGCCTCTGAAGTCAGACTTGAATTCATAATCTTCATTGGTTTCAGGAAAAGTGTGAAATATTGAGCCACACAGGCAATCACACTGAAATCAATGAATTGGTGACTGATTAAAATATTGGAACACTGCAGTGTACCTTGAGTAGAGAACCACATGTCAGTGGTTAAAGTTAGGAAAGCACCATTATTTAGATGGGGTGGAGGTGGGCTATGTTGGGAATTCATTGATTTACGAATTGCCCATATCCAATTGTACATGAAATGACATTAAATGGAGCCAAACCTTAATCAGCTAAACAGTTTTTTTTTATCTTCCCAGATTTTGTTGAATGGCAGAGCAGGCTCAGAGGACTGACTGACTCACTCCTGTTCCTATTTCTTAGAATCTCAGGAGAAAAAGATTTCCAGGGTAGTAAATGGCTTGCTTTCCACAGTTTGGATGTGGATTAGTGTAAAAGGAATGCATTTTACAGCCAATGTCATCACTTTCTGAGTTTGTTACTTGTGAGTGAACTACCTCATGTTTATTTAATCACAAATTGAAGATGTGGGGGTGACAGATGATAAGGGAAACGTATCCTTTCTTTTGGATGTATCGATTTTTATTAACCATTGGATGTTGCTCGTCCAAAATAAAGGGTACTGTTCACTTGGAAGGAAAATTGCCATTAATTGTGAGTTCAGACTGGAATTCTACCTCCTACTGGTTGCTCAGTCGACAGCAATCTGCATTCTCTCAGCATTAAATGATTGAAGAAATCGCAGATAAAGATTGAAGAAATGTGAAAACAAAGGTCCGTCAATAGTTAGAAAAGTCGGGAATTGAGATTAGATCTTACAGCAGAATTGAGGAATTTGCAGCAATACACTTAAAGAACTATTCTTTGCTCATGATTCATTCACCTACTGGATCCTCGGAGAGTCTCAGCAAGATATAGTCACGTTCACTTCCAGAAAAAGATTTTACAAACTTTCAGCTTTGTCCCTAACACTCATGAGCCGGACTTCATCATGATTGTGAATGGATATTTTCATGTTATTTCATTCTAATCCTCTCGCTACCTCCTTAGTCACTGCTATTCTTCACCGGGTATAATAGGACAACAGTGCTTTGTTCTGATCAGCTGGCTCTGACAGATATCTCGATGTTACAGCTTGAATAATTCTGTGTCTCTTTTCTAAATGAGATTGCTGCTATTCCTGATATCCCTTCCTGTTGCTGAATGATGGGATGTGGATGTCTGTAGCTGGCCCAACATTTATAACCCACCTCTAATTATTCTGAAGAACGTTGTGGTGAGCTGCCATTTTCAACTGCAGAAATTCCTGGGAGGTAAGGTCATCCAGAATGGCTTTGGAAGGAAGTTCTTGCAGTTTGACCCAGTAACAATATGTCTCCAAATCAGAATGGTGAGTAGCTTGGAGAGGAACGGGAGGGCGATGGCATTCCCATAATTCTTCCACAGCCGACTGGACAGATGATTGTGGAAGACTGGAAGGTACGCTCCGCCACGAGGTTAGACATTGTGGCGGTTTACAATTCTTCTAAAATTAATGGCCCATAGTGTGTCATTGACCGTGGTGATTTAGCGTCAGTCTGTACACACTCAGCATGTGGGTGTGATGCACCTTGAAGGCTTGCTAAAGACAATGCTTTGCATTCTTAAGGAGTGCGTGGTTCTCCCTCCTGCCAGCGGTATAGTGATCAGATGTGCCCTAGGCATGTGTGTTGTTGTGACGTTGCACTTTAACTCTGCATTCGTGTACGTTCTATTTCCCCGCGTGCCGCTGTATATCATAATGAACCTTAGTTTGTTAAGGCAGGAAGTGGGTGCTTGATCGGAAATTTCCTCGAGGAAACCAACCCCTCCCACGCTTAGCATCTCACTTTGACCCGGACGGGTCTGCGTTGCTGATGGGACACAGACACCCTTGGTAAAGTCTGTTATCAGTTGTTATTCCCTTCGTAAAACGATAGCTTTCCTCACTGTCAGCGCTCCCGTGATCTGTCTGAAGTTCAGGATTGCAATTACTGATATGGGCACTTGCTGATTGAACCACCCTGTGTCTTTTATTTCCTGGATCCTGTTAGATGAAGAATGGGGAATGGATCCCCTTCCCAATACCCACCTCCCCCAACTCCCCGCCCCGATCCCTTCACCACCACCAGCAACACTATCCCCAGCTGGAACACTATGTTTCCCTCCAGCTACAGCACTGAGATTGGGCAGCAAACGGCACAAAGACAAATGGCAGGTTTTAAGAGAAACCGCCGTTGAAATGAGAGACTGGCCGCCGGTTTGCGGAGTGCAAATTTACGCTTTGTGGATTGTTGGTTACATTGAAGCGGTTGGGTCCTGATGCCTGCACTGTGGGTCTTCTCCCATATAGCTTCTAACAGACACAATGCGCACGAAGACCTGGTGTAGAACCCCCTTCATATAGATAAGGCTGATTGTCACTGCCTCTTGGTAACGGAGCAACTTAAGACAAAACAGATTCCGGGAATGGGACTCAAAGCGATTCCCACTAGCTGATGGCCACATTGTTCTAACTGTGAGCGCTTAATTCCGCGCATTGTACCTTCCCAGAACGACTGGGCTTCGCGAAACCTTGATTTGTTTCTGCCCACTCAGGTATATTGCCCACAGTTCCCACCACATAAAACACGAACACAATATTCCACTTTCAAAGATTTTATTTCAATGAGAAAGAGCCTCTTTAATCAAACCGGTCCTACCTAGTTTCAATGAGGACTGGTCTGCTGAACAATTCAAACTTAAACTCTTGTGTCAAATAAATCAAATCAAGTAATCAATTACATTATTTAATTAACAGTTCTGGTGCTGCCGCATCTGACCGTACGTGATTGGGATGAAGCAGTGGCCCGCGGGTTGTTCTGGAGTGTCAGCGAGTTAACAGGATGTGAAGGTTTTCCAGAAGAAGTTTTTGCAGCCCGCTTTGCGTTCCCTCTGGGGCGAATTGGGGTTGGCGGATCGTTCCAGATCAACCCGTACCTCATCCTGTTTCGCCATCCGCGGCAAATCCTCCCCATCCAAAACTTCGTTCTCGGCGTTTGCCAGCTCCGCGAGCAATTGGACGAGATTGTATTTGATCAGCTCCTACATTAAGAAAAGGGGATAGTTAGGGCAGAGAAATCCACTCAATTGGTGCTGATTTAAGCACTAAACGCTGGATCTGAAAGTATAGTTTGGCAAATCTTTACTATAGTGTCAGCCCATCAGTCCCTGTATCCCACTGGGTGAAATTATCCTCATTTCCTATCTCTAGACTCCAACAGGCCGTGAACCTCCCAATCGACAATTAAATCACAATGTAACAAATCCATTGTGCAGCTCCCTTCATATCCCGTGTGGATGTTTTGGGGGCTTAATTAATCATGATAGGCGGGTCTTTGGAGAAAAGGAGGAAACCCCGGATGAGACGGTATCGAGGTGCTTAGGGTTTAGCGAAAGGCGGATACAATGTAGAAAGAGTCAGAGCGCGTTTATCTTTCTCGCCATTCTGGTGAATGTGGGTTCTGAGCTTCCCGCTAATAAACAGAACATCTAAACCTGAAAGGTTAACGTCATTTACATCAACATCTCTTTGCTGCTAGGTTAGAGTTATTTTAGATGAGCGATTGGAGGCTGCTCAGAGAATTATCATTTCAATCTGAGGAAATGAGTTTGGATCGGAGACAGGGAGGGACTGATGCCTGAAAACTGCGGAAAGTTGCAAGCCGTTGGTTTCCAGTCTGACCGGAGTGGCGATATCGACTGGAGAGAGGGAGAGTACTGTCTCCCTGGAGCTGGGGAACTCAGTGATCTCTCTCGGTCGAAACAAGCGCGCTCAGAGCGGTTTATAAACCGAGAGATCTGTGGAACTCAAATATAACTCACTCATCCATGCCGTCATTTGATGGGCATTACATCTTTCTAATCAGGTTAGATTCAGCAATAAGTCTCTCCCTTTATTCGGCTCTATTTCAATTAAATGGTATAACCATATTATCCGCTTTATTACATGGGGGTTTCCCGTTGCTGGATTCTTACCGCTTTACTCCGGGGCTCTGCGCCAGCCATTGATGTCTGGAGGAGTTCGCGATACCTGTCGGCGGTGGGAGCGGCGCCCGCACTCAGCACTGCCAGAGCGATGGAGAGCAGGGCGAGGGCGCACTGAACTCGGCTGCACCACATCACTGCACAAAGTGAGGTACCTCGTCGAGGGAAGGAAGAAAGTGAGAGGCTTTACAGCTTTCGAAAGTTGCCCGAGTTTCAGCACCAGCTCAGTGGACAGCTCCGCTCCTACTGGCTCTTCGAAGTGGCAGCTCCTTTTAAAGGCGCTTTCCCAACCTGAACCCACGTCAGGAGGACGGCTCCCAGGAGATTTACAAGCATTTACGCACAACCCAGTCACATCATCCAACCAAATCATTACCAAGCTGACGAAGATTGAGATAACGGCCAGGGACTCTCAATGTGGACACCTTATCGCATTCTGGCAGTTGCTCCTGTGATTGGATATTGGGCCATGTCCATCACGAATGAATACAGTCAATTCAGTCAAGTCTTGAATTGTTCCATTTTCCTGTAACTTCATGATTTGAGTTCCGTTTTTGACATTTCAATACTGCGCCTCCCTTGAGGAATTCGGACTTGTTGATGCCATGATACACGGATGGTTCCTCAAGTTGATAGCCCATCCTGTATCTCCGCGTCCAACCAGTGTTCTTAACACCTAAACAAAAAGAGAACTGCGAATGCTGGAAATTAGAAGCAAGATTCTAAAGAAGGTTCACTGGAGCCGAAATGTTAACTCTGCTTTCTTTCACAGATGCTGCCAGACTGCTGAGTTTTTTCAGCAATTTCTGTTTTTTTTTTGTCACCGTGTTCTTATTGCGGGTCTTTTTACAGGTACGAGGATGAATTTACTTTGATCAGTTCTTTAGATGTTTGTGAATGGGTCATAGTGCGGGGGTCAGGGATGGGTTTCAATGTGAGGTGGTCTCCACTAATAATTCGATCCTGCCAAAAGGTCGGAGTGACGATAGGGCTCGTTCGGAAAAGGGAATACATCTCTCCAACGCACAAATTCTTATCAAGTAAACTTTGTGATCATAATCCAGGGGAGTGCTGGCCAATTCATTACAGAATTAAATGATCCAGAGATGAAAATGTGTGAGATGCCGAAGGATGTTTCCACTTATGAGGGAGACAATAACTCTCGGAAACAGTTTAAGAACGAAGTCACCATCTTAAGACTAAGATGGAAGATGTCAGAGGGTCGTTAGTCCTTGAACATTTTTTCCTCAGAAAGTAGCACAGGCTGCCTCATTGAAATTAATCAAAGCAGAATTCGATAGATTTCTGATAGTCAAGACAGTCAAAGCCTATGACAAGACAGCAAGATGGAACTGGACTACAGCTAGTTCAGCCTGAATTTTAATAAATGGATATCAGGGGAGACAGGCAGAATAGCTGATTCCAACTTCTAAATCATTTGCTGCGAATTGTGTGAGATTATGAGGGCAGAAACTACGTGAGGCACAGTAAAGGATTGTTTCCTGGGGAAAGACTTGCTAGTTTCCTAATCATTGTGTAGTATTTTGTGGTTTTATCCCCGTGTTCTATGTGTGGGTTTACAATCCCTTCTGATTGGTATTCTTCTTAAAGCTAACACCGAACTCAGTGGACTTGAGATTTAACTTTGTTTTTACACTGAATTGGTGGGTTGGTTGAGATTTACAACCTGCAACCCTTCATAATTTTAATGATATCGCCATCCCTGATCGCTTCAAACAATGTTAAATATCTGTATCTCCGCGCGAACACAAGAAAACAGAACAGCACCAGGCTGACTATTAAATATACCATTACCCGGGGAAACACTTCCTTATTTGCATGAACAAGGCAATGGATAAAGATTCATTGGAGAATTCAAGTCAAGTGAACCAATAATTCAGACTTGATCACGATTAAAGAGTTGCATTTTCTGTCTGTCTCTCTATCTCTGCCTGCGACTCCATCTCTGTCAGTCTCTGTCTGCCTCCCTGTCTGTCTCGGTCTCTGTCTGCTTCTGTCGTTGTCTGTCTGCCTCTGTCTGTCTCGATGGTCGGTCCACTTTTGTTCACCTTTTGGATTTTTGTTTTGTAAAAACAAAAGAACCCACAACGTTTGGGTTCTGCTGTAAGCTGTAGTTAAGTTTTCCACTGAACCGTAGCTGTATGAACAAGTGGCAAGTTTTCTGCCCTCACAGACGCTGCCTGAACTATTTGTAGCCTATTCTGATTTTATTTAATATTGACTTTTGGAAGATTCTCTGCTGAGTGAGAATGGCTGGAGGGGACTGCAATTAACTGAGATTATTCGTTTACAGATGACACTGTGCAACCCGGCAGCAGAAATGAAATGAAATGTTCTAGACAATGAATTTTTGTTTCTTTTGCAACGCATCAGGAAAATCTATACTTTGTTCACAAAAGACCGAACGACCGGAATAATGTTAGTTTAAACCATTGTACCTGTAGTGAATTGGGAGAGTGAAAGGGAATTTCCAGGACCTATTATGCAGATATTTCTGTTAATCAATGGGAAGGAACTTGAGAAATAGGTTGTGGAAGCGGCTTGCGTACTGAGTGCTGATGAATATATTAAGGGAGCAGTAATTGTTATTTACAAGTTGGTGTGTTTTGACAAGATAAGTAGAAACCTATCAGCATGAGTGGACCTCTGTCCTGTTACGGGTAGTAGCGCCAGGGAGCTCTATGATACCACATGTCATTTATCTTGACACGAGGCAAGGCAGAAAGTCTTCTCACCGTTAGTGTGCAGTGCTAGTGGCTCGGGAGATTAATGAACTGTTGATCAGTGAGGGGAAACTCTAGTCAACTGGAACCGTCTCAAATGGAAAGGAACTGTCGAAATGAATCGCTTATTTCATTAAATGGACATCATTTTAGAATGGCAGACAATGAGGCATCTCACTTGGGGTCGTACAACTGGGATTTTTCTCAACCTTGACATTGAGACGGTGTCGAACACGGGCAGGAATACGACATTAACCTCTTGTATTGTAGAGTGGACCAAGAGAATGGCACCTTCAAACAGGTGATGCCATCAGATGGGCCGAGTTGATCAGTTTCATCACCATTAATTTTCCTGATCTATATTAACAATCGAGATTTTTCTGTACATTAGATGATTTCAAAATGTACTGATGACGCAATTTGAAAGCATTGCGAACTGTGAGGAGGATAGTGTAGAAGTTCCAAAAACGTAGAAAGGCTGGTGGAATTGACAGACGTTACAGAGCGAATTTAATTCAATAAAATGTGAAGCGATTCATTCTGGTGGAATGAACGGAGAAACAGTATAAAATAGAGAATGCAACTCCAGAGGGGAACAAGAGCACCTCGGGGCATGGGTGCACAAATTATTGAATGAGGCTGGATTGCAGCGTAATGGGGAAGGGTACAAAATTCAGAGTTACAGCACAGAGAGGGAGGGGGGAGTATAAGACCAGCAAGGGAAGGTACAGAAGTTACAGCACTGAGTGAGTGTAGTAGATCCAGGTGTGCAGCACAGTGAGGTAGGGTATAAGTCCCAGGGATATAGCACTGAGTGGGAGGTGGGGGTGTGGGGATGTGCAAGTTAATAGACCCAGCATTACAGTATAATGATGAACGGTACAAGATTAAGGGTTATAGTAATTGGGTTAGAGCACATTGAAGGAGGAATGGGGCTGGTGGTTTGTAGGACACAAGGTTATAACACAATCAGGGAGAGTATAAGGCATATGTTACAGTTCCTAGTGGAAGCACATAATATCCAGAGTTACAGACCAGTGAGGGAGGGTAATAGATCAAGGATTACAATGCAATAAAGGAGATTATAAGACCCAGAATTTCAGCACAGTGAGGGTGATGGGGTAATGTATAGGTCGCATGTGTTATAACTAATTGAGACTAAGTATAAGATCCAGGGTTACAGCAGAGTGGGGAGGGAATAAGAACCTAAGTTACAGCTCAGTGAGGTGTGAGGGTTTAGGACATGAAAGTACAACACAGTGAGGTAGGAAATTGACATGAAGCCCAATAAATTTCAACATTGATAGATGTGAGGTATTACCTTTATTGGTGCGACCCCTGTGCAGTTGGCAATGTGATTTCATTATGGCCTCTGCAACCAGTTAAGCAGCTATGTTGGAACTTTTGTTTCTCCTATGTACAATGGCCTGACCCCAAGAATGAATGTCCAAATCAAAGGGTTGGCAGTTCAACAGCACCTTGCTAGGATGGCCACTTGTGCTTGTGCACTCAGTGCATGAAGATGCATTGATGGTAGCGCCCGTAATGATGACCAGTTGAGCTGTGAGTAGTTGATGCCTAATCCCAGAGCCTGCTGTCAGGCTGCCAGGTTTAATTGGTCCACGGCCCCACATAGCATCCTTTCCAAACCCCACTCACCCCCTTAACTAGCCAATTATTCAGTTTGGTTCTGGGAAGATGTTTAATTTGATATCTTTTCTGCTGCTAGAAAAATAGCTCTGGTGGTAGAAACCTGCAAGGTACCACTGAGGACTTTCCTATACCATCTCCCCGTTACTTCATCTTAAATAAAATCGAAATACTGCAGATACTAGAGATCTGAAATAAAAATGGAAAGTGCCAGAGAAACACAACAGGCCTGGCAGCATTTGTGGAAAGAGAGAAAAATTGAACATTTTGAGTCTAATGACTCACCTTTGGAACTCTGAGCATTTTACTTTACTTTCTTATGGCCTTAGTGGGCTACTGTGCAACTCTTACTAATCCATGTCTGTGCCAATCCTGCTTCCTCTAGTCTAATGTTTAATCAAAATATATGGCTCTTTATTTTCAATCTGTATTGAAAATTACAACATGTCTATTCTAAAATTGTATTAATATCCTCTTGAAATGTGTTTCTGTTTGCCTTGAAATCAACTATTACCTACCACGCAATTTGGAAACATCTGCATATTTCTAAATTGTGCTTTGATTTTAAAGTCATTAATGTAAATTGAAAATAACATTACCTGTTTCTAGACAACTCTACTTCCCTAGCTTCTGTTACTTTGAGCAGCTAGTTATCCCCACTCTCTACTTTCTGTGTACAGTCAATTTGTATCCATTCTGATGCTGTACTATGTATCTGCATACTTTATTGAATAGTTTATTAAATGTCACTTTTTTGAATGTCATTTAGAAATATAAATTATTATATCTACCTCATTGTCTTTTCTAAACTCTGCTGATGATTCAGAGTCCAATTAAGTTGATCAGGCAACACTTCCATTTCAAATTGATATTGGCCATTATTATATTTTGGTTTCCAGAAATGCTTCTTTCTTAAAAATTGGATTACATTATTTTCCCTAAATCTGTTTCTCTTCCTGAGGTAGGGCCTGACCTGCTGAGTGTTCTTACTATGTTATGTTTATGGTTATTGGAACTTTTGTTTAAAACATCAAGACAGCTGAAGTTTCAGATTTCAATTAGAAATATGTATTTAGACAACATATTTATAGATTTAATAACAAAGGTACTATTTGGAGTTTCATTTCAAATTCATTATGAGTTGCACAGTAACAACATACATTTAAAAAGTCTCAGCAAATTGGGACTACCTATGGAGAGAAACGGAATTAATTTTCACATTAAATGTTAAATGTGTTTCTTTCTCAATGGGCCCTGCCTTGTGTACTGCATTTTTCCAGCATTTTTGTTCTTAACCAAGATTTCCAGCATCCAAAATATTTTGCTTCAGAATGAGATATGGGGGAGTGTCTTCACAAATTTGATATGATATGCATTAAATCAAGGTTTCAATTAGCTGTTTATTTTAGATGCACATTTCAGAATTAATTAGTTAGATCTGCTTATGGATTCACTATTTTGGATGCGAGTTTTTGGTTTTGTGTGAAAATAGGTGCATGACAGAAGAAGATGGGACAATTACGGGGGAGATATCCACAAATAATGCAAGGGAATAAAGGATTGCTGGGTACAGATGGGAATGTGGAATTCAAACAGAAACACATCACACATGATGTCATTTAATGGCAAAGACTCTCTGGTCTTCTTCAACTGGTGCTGTGACATTTCCACGTTTAGCTGAACAGATGGACCGTCAGAAAGATGACACCAATGGCAATGCAATGCTCCCTCAGTACTGCGTGGAATTGCCACCTCAGGACTCCCATAACTGGATTCTCGGTAAGGTTACAATCTGTGGATTCTCACCATGATAAATTTCAACTAGACAGAGACTGCAGCATAATCTTCAAATGTGAAACCATTTTTATTGCAGCATGTTGAAAGCGTAATGCAGGACTTTGAGTACAAATGCAAAACAAAAAGTAAAGAATGTGTGTGTCAAATAGTTTAAACTGAAGCTTCAGTTATACTGCAGATTAAATGCAACTATTGTCAGATTACAATAGATAAAATAGGAAGAGCTCATTAGTACACACTGTGGTAGATTGGGATGTAGTGTGAAGGACTCCATACTTTATAGTGGGATACAGTTGCCTGTAGTGTGGAACAGTGGGGTACAAGTGCACTACAATGTGGCATAATGTGGTATAATACTGTATAGTAGGTACAGTGGGAAAGAGTTAATGTGACATTGTGAGGTACAGAGCAGTGCATTAGGGTACAGTAGGACACAGTGAAGTACAATGAAATTCAATGTGGTATAATGAGGTACAGTAGAGGATAATAGGCTACGATGAGGCACAATGGGAAGGAGTCATTATGGTACAGTGAGGCAAAGTCCACTACGTTGAGCACAGAGAAGGGCACTGTGGACAAACAGGATGCAGTGAGGTACAGTGAGATAATGTGGAAAAGGGCTCAGTGCAGTAGAGCGGAGTACAATGTGTTAACATAAAGTGTATGTTTTCCAGAAGAAATTCTTGCAGTTTTTCCGCATTCTTGTTCCCAATTGACGCTGCTGGAATTTCATTGGAATCTTGTTATCTGGTGGAGTCTCAACTTGAGAAGCATTCACTTCCACAGCATCCTTGTCTGCATCCGCGACCACATGTAGAAGTTGGATAATTGTGTCCTTCAGAAAGTCCTAGAAGGAAGCAAGTAAAGTTTGCAAGAAACTGAAATGTGGAAATTCAACATGTCTTTGCATTGCCTACTGTTGACATCAGTTATCTATTGCTTAGAGTCTCTTCAGTTACATGTTTTAATTCTGAAAGTTAAAAAGAAACAAATTAATTCTAATTTTTCTCCCAATAAAGCAAGATTGGGAGAGGTGTGTGAGCATGTGGGTGGTGAGGAGAATGGAGATGAAGGGTAAGATGGCTTTATCTGCTCTGGACTAAAAACAAAATCCAGCACCAGCTTATGCTGGTCACAGTCAGGATCAGAGTGGGAGGGATCAATGCTCATGTAATAGAAAGAGCAAAAACCCAAGTGGTTTTTCCACTTCACAGCACTATCATAGGATATCTGTGTGGACGTTAGGCAAGGATAAGGTCCAGCTTCATTGTTGAATTGGACCTTACCTTCCAAACATTAGTGATTACAATTAGAGGAATTTGTGGCAAGAAAATATAAACTGAGCACCATCACTAACTCAACACATCCATTTCATCACCTCCAAACTCCACGTGAAATGGCTCCTGACTATAACTGGAATAGAACATAGAACATAGAACATTACAACGCAGTACAGGCCCTTTGGCCCTCAATGTTGCGCCGACCTGTGAAACCAATCTGAAGCCTATCTAACCTACACTATTCCATTATCATCCATATGTTTATCCAATGACCATTTAAATGCCCTTAAAGTTGGCGAGTCTACTACTTTTGCAGGCAGGGCATTGCACGCCTTTACTACTCTCTGAGTAAAGAACCTACCTCTGACATCTGTCCTATATCTATCACCCTTCAATTTGAAGCTATGTCCCCTCGTGCTAGCCATCACTATCTGAGGAAAAAGGCTCCCACTGTCCACCCTATCTAATCCTCTGATCATGTTGTATGTCTCTATTAAGTCACCTCTTAACCTTCTTCTCTCTAACGAAAACAGCCTCAAGTCCATCAGCCTTTCCTCATAAGAACTTCCCTCCATACCAGGCAACATCCTGGTAAATCTCCTCTGCACCCTTTCCAATGCTTCCACATCCTTCCTATAATGCGGTGACCAGAACTGTACGCAATACTCCAAGTGCGGCCGCACCAGAGTTTTGTACAGCTGCAACATGACCTCATGGCTCTGAAACTCAATCCCTCTACCAATAAAACCTAACACACCGTATGCCTTCTTAACAACGCTATCAACCTGGGTGGCAACTTTCAGTGATCTATGCACATGGACACCGTGATCTCGCTGCTCATCCACACTACCAAGAATCTTACCATTAGCCCAGTAGTCTTACCATTAGCCCAGTAATCTTACCATTAGCCCAGTAGTCTTACCATTAGCCCAGTAATCTTACCATTAGCCCAGTAATCTTACCATTAGCCCAGTAGTCTTACCATTATGCCAGTAATCTTACCATTAGCCCAGTAGTCTTACCATTAGCCCAATAATCTTACCATTAGCCCAGTAGTCTTACCATTAGCCCAGTAATCTTACCATTAGCCCAGTAGTCTTACCATTAGCCCAGTAATCTTACCATTAGCCCATTAGAGGAATGATAGTTCCTCTTCTCTCCCCAGTTTCAATTTCAATTCAGCAACAGATACCATCCTTGAGCAAAATTCCCTCTTTGGACATGATCAGAATATTTCTCGTTGTAATAAACACTGGCTCAGGAAAACAAAGTGTTCACAGTAATTTGTGATATCTTCCAAGTTCAATCTAAATTCTGAGTAGCCTTATGTTGCTATCCTGATGACAAGCAATGGATATGAATCAAACTACAGTGTACAGTGCAGCTTTCTATTTTGCTATTGCTACACAAACAGACAAATAAACAAATGACACTAAAGTGGTTCATGCTGCATGTAGTCACAAGTACAGGGTCCTACAAAATGGTTATTGTGTTTACCGCAAAGAATTAAACAAATTTTGTCTTGTTTCTTGTCACTTAGTTCAAAGAATGGGTAAGTCTTACAATTTGTCACTAAGAAACATGGCTGTTTTAATAGAATCCCAGGGACATTCTGAATTCTGCTTTTATTCATGCACAGGATATCCGTGGCTTAGGCCAGGATTTATTACCCATCTTGGCCTTCTCCAGAATGCCCAGAATCACAAATGTTAATCTTCAGCTAATTAGATTCACTCCACGTGTTATCAGGAAATGATTGAAGGCAATGGATACTGCAAAGGCTTTGGAGCCTGACACCATTCCAGCAATAATACTGAAGACTTGTGCTTCAGAACAAGTCATGGCCCTAAACAAGCTGCTCCAGTGCAAGCTCAAGCCTGACATCCGCTGACAATGTATGTTCACTTGTTGGTTTTATGCCTGCCACAAACGAAGATGGTTGTGGTTGCTGGAGGTCAGTCATCACAGCTTCAAGACATCATGACAGGAGATCCTCAGGGTAGCGTCCTGTGCCCAACCATCTTCAGTTACTGCATCAATGATCCATCATAAGGTCAGAAGTGGGAATGTCCGCTAATGATTGCAATGTTCAGTACTTTTGTAACTCTTTAAATACTGCTAAAATGCAGTGAGATCTGTACAATATTTAGGTCTTGGACTAACAATTGGGATGTAACACAAACGTCAGGCAATGACCATCTCCAGCAAGACAGAAACTGTTATCCTTGACATTCAGTGACATTTCCGTTGTTGAATTCCCCACCATCCACATCCTGGGAATTAACATTGATTAGAATTTGAACTAGGTCAGTTGTATAAATACAGTGGCTACAAGAACAGGTCAAAGACTAGGAATCCTGAAGTGAGTAAATCACCTCCTGGCTCCTCAAAGCCTATCCTTCATTCACAAAGCACAAGTATGGAGTGCGATGGGAAACAACCCAATTGTCTGGATGAGGGCAGCTCCAACAGTATTCAAGAAACATACACCATCTAGGACAAAGGCACCTGCTTGCTTGGCACCACTTCCCACCATCTTGAATATTGACTCTATCACTGATGCGCAGTGACATTTGTGCAAATACACGATACACTGCAGTAACTTGACTCAGTCACACTGTGGAAGCGTCTAACCTGCATATACCTTGTCCATCCTTTCAAGTATTTTGTAGGTTTCAATGAGATCATCTCTCATTCTTTGAAACTCACAAATACTGTCCCAGTTTGCCTAATCTATCATCACGGGATAGTTCTGTTATCCCAGGAACAAGCCTGGAGAACATTTGTTGCACTAACTCTACAGCAAAGGTCACCAATGTTTTTAAACACAAGATCACTTTTTGAATTTAAGTGCAAGCCAGGATCTACTCTAAGAAAGTACGAAATAAACAGTTTATTTTTAGTGCCACATAACTCTAAAACCAAATGTACGTAAATATTTATTTTGTCCTCTACTTACTATGCCTCAATGTGATACCTGTGACTGCACATTATCTGCCAGTGCCTTGAAGTCTGAGATGTAGTTTGAGACTGGTGTTGGATGTAGCCTATCAAATAGGTGTCTGTGAGGCAGATGCAACACTTGGACTTGCTTATCATCATTTGGGTGAACTCTGTTTCACAGAGATATGTGGAGTCAAAATAAGCTTTCACTTGAAAAGCACAAGATGACAAGAGTGATTATTTTCACTGCTTATAATTCCCCAAAAATTGCTGTCCCTTGACCTGACTTTCAGTTCACTATCATGTTGCTCAGTAATTCTATCCATCTCAGCTCCACAGCTTTATAAATCAATACCTGATGGAATAGTTAGCCAACCCACCATTGTCTACATGAAGGAATGGATTTAAGATAAACATGACAATTTATTACATTTCATCGCTGAAAATACCCGCTGAATTCCTCTGCAAACTTCCTCAGGGATGCTAAGGCATTTTCTTTTGTATTTGACTTTTTCCAGTGTTCTCTCCAGACTCAGGAAGTGTTGCAATATTTTGTTTTTAATGAGGAGGACCGCAGACCTAGTTTCAACTTGGATGTATTCACAACACTGATCACATGTTGCTAAGTCTCTGTCCTTTCCTTGCAGTTCACAGTTTAGCTTGATCAGTTTAGATGTTGTGTCTGCAAAGAACCTGAAGTGAGCAACCACGCATTGTCTGACAGTTCACTACACATTTGATTCCTTAATTTCATACGTGACAATTTCAAGCATCAGATCAAAAAACTTTGGAAGAAATTCTCTTGACTTAACACCCTCACTTCAGCATTATTAGTTCAGTATAGGCAACATGAAGTTCATTGAGGAAGACCCACAGCCATGAGACGTAAGAACAGAAGCAGGCCATTTAGCCCATCAAGTCTGCTCCGACATTGAATTACATCATGGCTGGTCTGATAATGATCAGTTGCTCTTACCTGTCTTTATCTTATTACAATTGATTCATTTAATGATTAAAGATTCATTAATATCAGCCTTAAAAATACTCAATGAGCCAAAGTGGCAAAGAGTTCCACAGTTCATAACCCTCTTAAAAAGAATTTCCTCCTCAATTCTGTCTTAAATTTTAACTCCTTATTCTGAGGTTATGCCCTCAGGTTGCAGATTCTCCTATAAGGGGAAAGAGCCTAGATTCATCCATTCTGCCAAGCCCCCTAAGAATATCTAAGGACACCTCTCATTCTTCTGTATTTCATTGTGTACAGGCTCAATCTACTCAACCTTTCCTCTTTAAGAATTTAAACAAGCAGTGTTGAATGGCTCTTGCTTGAATTGAGTTTACTGTCTTAACAACAACTTTCATTCCATGAGAAAAGTTCATAACTTTACTCAGTACTGCTTGCTGGTGGATAACACAGTGAAAATTTAGAAAAGAAGGGAAATCAGGATCATTTCTGCAAACTGCAACAAACCTCATATTTGTGCCACATATATTTGATGAACCATCAGTTGTGATGAAAACCATTTTCTTAATTCTTAATCAATCACAAACCTGAGAATTTGATGTAGATATCCTCATCAATTGTTTTGTCCTTAAGGGCAAAAGGGATGAGAAGATCCTCTTT